ATTTGCTGTTGGTGTAGACATTTTTTGACTTCATTAGTTTTAGAAATACCAAAATATTAAAGTTAATTATAAATTCGACAATGTCTTTTAAAATAATTTCTGCGAAGAGCCAATCATGTACTGAATTTTTTATTCATCATTCTAATACTTGATCATGGCATACAATTTTCATACTCCGCCTTAATTGTTCATGCGTCCCACTTTGTTTTCAAAAACATGTTCTATTTTTAGATAAGATCGTGTTTTGAATAATCTATCTTTTATTAATTTATTTACTTTTTGTCTTTTGTCAGTGTGTTAGGTTTTTTTTGGTGCTTGGTCCAATTTTTACAAGTCAAAATCTTTTCAAATGTTTTTTGCTACCGTATTTGTTCTAATGATATACGGGTACACGACACAGACAGTTCAAGTTTAGAAAAGGGGATCAGTGCTTACAAAAATATACTGAGCTTTTCCAAAGCCAAAGCCAGAAAGAATCCTTTGGCCAAGTGGTTGGCGTTATCACCCTTTATTTGTCATGTTTGGTTTTTTTTATCCTTCAATGCTAAAAGCTTAAAACGTCGTAAACTTTCTCATTTAAATTGTTTCACATTGAATTACATGATGGACAGTCTTGCATACATAAAAGAGAGGCAAAAGATACCAAAGGGATAGTCAAACTTATGAATCGAAATCACACTGACAATGCCATTGCAAAACACGAAAACCAACTAAAAAGACTGAACATCACGAACCCAACCAAAAACTGGGGAAATCATATATCCCAAACTATTGTTGAAGGCAACTAAGACGACCCGTAGTGTACAGTCTTGTCCTGATGTCTTTAGTGGCTATTGGTGTCTCAGTTGTAACCATACCAAATATCCTGACTTTCATATTATAACGGACTCTTTCCAAATAATACTGGTGCAAAAGAAAATTCTGAATTGTTTATTTTTCACAACCAAAATTGTTTAACAGTAGCTAAAGAAAAACAATATATAAACACGGACGGCAGTGCTTGATTCTATGCAAAGGTTAAACTGATACTAATATTAAAAATTCAAATCCAACACACAACATTGATATACGAACTTGTTTTTATACATAATTTTTTAACAGCATGTAGAGTTTTTCAGTTCATCTGATCCATTAAAACTATTAAACTTTTGTCAGCATTTTGAATCGTTTTTTTTTTTGTTTTTGTTTTTTTTTTGTTTTGTAAGGAGGAAAAATTAAACAAGACTCTAATCTAACTACTTCGTATGACTATATATGAAAAAGATTAAGATATATTCAATAGAGCTAAGGAAAAGAGATACTAGTATATCAAAATATAATGAGGCCTTTCTTGTCATTCCGAGACCACAGTGTTGTAAGAAATGTTTCCGTTTGGCTTTAAAAAAAATCCAAATCTCGAGGGAGCGACCATTCGCTGCGCCATGTCCTCATCGTGATCATCTAGTCCAATAGTTTATTTTCAATTTTTATGTGAAAAGCTTTCCTTTTTGTTGGAACCTGAATATTGCATATAACAAAGCATTTTTTACAGTTTTAAGAACATACAAGAAAGGGTTGATTAATCCATGTAATTTGAAAATGTCCATTCTTGTAAAGAGTTTATTTCAAATTTTTCGACTGGAAAATAAAGGGTCGACGTCTAAAATCGTCTATTCTTCACACAATCTAACTTTATGGTTATAGAATGGATGGGATATGAGAACTATTTCAACCCGGCACCATTTATCTGTGTCAGTCAACGGCGGTTGATTTCACTCATGTCAGAGTTGATTTATTGTCCCAGTCGTTGTTTTCGTTTATATTTGAGTGTTTCTTTTATTGTCCAAGCAGTTGTGTATTTTAGGAAATGAATAATGAAGCCAAATTTTAGTAATCTCTGATAATTTATTCACAGACTATGTATACTTTATCCTTTTAATGTTTGAAATATTGTATAATGTCCGACTATCTTTTAAGACTTAAGTTGACCTCTATATATCTTTGTTAATTGTTTGAGTCCTGGAGTTAAAGTCTCATTTATATCGAATCCGCATCTCTGTTAAAAGTTGGAGAAGGTTTTGTGAAGAAACCAGATTGCGATTATGTTTGTGCATGTAACAATCTAATTCAAAAACTTAAAGAATTAACCACAGACAAAAGGAAAGTACGTCGTCCGTAATTTATAATGTTTGGGTTAAACTATTGGTACCAACGTTTACCTCTTTTATTTCGTATTTCAAACTAACCATGTAATTGTTTTGAAAAATAGAAACAATATCATAAAGTAGCATGAGTAGGAAGCAATGAAAAAAAATGGTTACAGCATTTGGGACCATATCGATTTTACCGAAATTCCTAAACGAACTCTTGCTGAAAGGGTCAAGACAGTTTGGACCACAGATACACATTAAATTAAGACATTAAATGTTCCATAAAAAGTACAGATTTAGCGAAATTAATGGAACTTCGAATGCCTTTGACATGTAAAATATTGACTTGAGTACCAAAAAAAAAAACGATCAGTTAAGCCTATATAAAAAAAAGCAAAATTGATGCTAAAAGTTCACAACTACTAGCAGTCAGTAATTTTTATTTACTTGAAGAAGTAATATTAATATACTTATATAAGTAAATTTGTAGGAAACTTATACTAGTATATTTTGTTTACTTGTATAGGTAAAAAAAATTGGCTTAGTTATGTCCCTTAGACATTCAGATTTTTTTACTTATATAAGTGAAAAAGTCATCCTATCTTCTTTTCTAGAATTCTTAGGACTTCTTTGCTCTAATAGAATTTTAAATTGTCAGTCCTTTGCAGATGTCTTAACTAATCATTTAAGTGTAATTTCATGGACAATGACAATCTCATTTGTCTGTTATCTTCAGAACACTGCTCATATACAAGCCCCCAAGGAGCAATGTTTGAAGGCCTTGCGCAAATATTTAAGATCTTTGCGCAATCAGTTTCTTTGTTGAATTAATGAGATGAAACATTGAACTCTAATAAGCTAACCTGGGAAAAATCATTAAAGGCATGTTTTTACATCTCAAAACTTGAGAATTTTTGTGGGATTGTAAAAAAATTTACAAGTGAATTTTTGAGAAAATTAAGGGAAGATTATTCAAACATTATAATTAACTTATATAAGTATATTCTATTTACTTCTTCAAGTAAATAAAGATTACTTGTACAAGTAGTACCCCTGACTGACTAGTTTAATCAGACAAGTGACATTTCTCAAAACCAAATCGGCAAAAGTAAACTTATTTCAGATTATACATTATCAGAAAAAAGATAAGAGTTGTGAAATATCATGAAATATTTGCCGCTGAACGCAGTTGTCATTCGATTTATTGATCAATCAGTTAAGACTTTATGGTTAAATCATAAGTCATTACAATGCTATATACTAGTATCCCGATTTTTGTGGTGATGTATAGTACTAAGTGTTAAGTCGGACTCTTCATCGACGGTGCTTTAGAAAAAAAAACCAGACCGTGTCAACTATGAAGAATTGAGAACACTGCTTGTCTTTTGAATCCCTCGTATTAATATAAAATCTTGCATGCTTCTTTATATAAAAATACAGTGATTGAACTATATTTTCTTCAACATATCTTTATTGTTTGTAATATTTATCATATTATAAAAACCTTCATTTATTTCCATATTGTCGTGTTTTTTTTTATAGTATTCTAGAAAAAAAATAGATATGTAATAAATTAATTTCGATTTCCAACCCAAAAATTTAAAAAATCACAGAATATACGCAAGGTCCGCTACGTGTACTAAAGTTTAAAGATTAATCCCGAGGATGATGGAAATTTACCCGAATGTATGATATGTCAAATTAATCAATTAACGAGGATAACGTGCATGTGCTTGACTAGGTAAATGTGTTGACGTTACGTTACGTATCGTTTTTAGTAACGTCATTCAAATATGTATGGCAACGTAACAATGTGAAAAAACAACGTCTCGGCGCTCAAAGGGTTAAACACCAAACGTTCATTTAAGGTTGGACAAAAGGCAAAGAAAGGCTGTACAAATCCTTCCCCACATAATTTGTATTGAATAATCTGATAGTATTTAATATATTTATTACATTGGTAGCAACGAATTACATTGATTCCCCAGTCAAATAAAAACCGATAATTTCACATGTGAAATAAACGTGGTTATTTCACTCTCTGACGTCATACAACAATAGGCGTTGTCAAGACGTCGATAACGTCGGATCAAAACAAATGTGAATGCGTAGAAAAAAGATATAGTTCCTTACATTTTCTACATTAATTTCATTAAAAAAAGCCTTTTGCCAATGTAATAAAAAGAATAACTAATCAAAGAATTCAAATATCGAAAAATATTCAACTCGTGACCGAACAACACTGATAATTAACTCATGCGCTACGCGCATTCGTGAATTAATGTGTTGTTCGGTCACTCGTTGAATATTTTTCTCTATTTGAATTCTTCGATTAGTTATTCTATAATTCTGATAATAAATAGAATATTCTTTATTGCAGTGAGTCAATTAACATGGTTCAATATTAAACAGTTATATCTAAGTTAAACTATGATTAAATAACGGATGGTTATATCTTCCAGTTTTATGTACATGTATATATTGTTGGACATAAGTGAAAATGGATGTGTTTTCATCAATATTTAAAGCTGGGAAACCCTGTTAAGTATGACGTCAAGCTTGATATTGTTAAATTATATCATAAATATATAAATCGTTCAGTTACTTTCCTGTACTGTGTATATATAGAACTTGGTTTTGGTTTTATCCGAAATGGTTCTTAGGAGAGACAATCATCAAAGAGCTGTCAGTACATACATAATAATATAGCTTTTAAATATAGAGTTCGGCATGAATTAAATTCGAATTCAAAATATATTACAGTGTGTTGTGATGCATTTGTAATCTTGATGATACGCAAATTGTATTTTCAAAAAATGATTAAAAAAAAAATACGAAAACAATTTACCGCCAAACTTAGCTTTACTTAAAAGCTGCAAAATGGCGGGAGCAGACCGAAATCTGTCATTGAAAGAAGCATTAGTTGAAAGTTTGGGTTCTGTGTTGTCTCCCGACGATGATCTTAGAGTTTCTGGGGAAGAACAAGTTAAAGCCCTTGAAGTTACTGAAGGTTCATTCATTTTTTTTAATTAAACAAAACAATTTTTGAGTTAGAATAAAAACGCTGATTGCCAACAGGACTATGTCTATGGTGGTAAGAGTACTGTATCATATGTATGTATGTACAAGCTTCCTTTCTGAAGAGCCTAACCATGATCCACTATGAGTTATGGTGTAAAGGAGACCAAAACATATATAATTACAGTGCATTATAAAACACGAACATAAACACCCTGACTCGTCTGATTCGGTCATCCTCAAAATATTTTACAAGTGCAAACTCGGTACCTCGAATCACCGAATAACACCGTTATTAGCCAAATAACACTTGTAAACACCGAATAACACTTGAAATTTTAATATTAGCACATATTGGTGACATTTAAACATTGATAATTAAATAATATTGTATTATAAGTGTATTTTATAACTTAAAAATTATTTATAGAAAGCAGGTAAGTTCATAAAGATCGCATTAAATATTAGTGTGTACATCCAACATGGCGACCAAGGAAAACACAATGGGAAGTATAAAAGAATGAATGCATATGCATACAAAGGGAAAAGCTATGAAAATAAAATATTAAATAATGTACTGTATATACAGAGTATTGTCCAATAATTGTTTTTCAGTAAGGTTTCAAAAAGTTAACAAGTACATCAAAGCCATGCAATTACTCCAATCACCAATTAGTTTTCTTAACGATTTACTCAATATTGAATGAAACGTAATTAAGAATTTTCACATATTTAATTTAAATTTAATCAAAAAATTAATTATACTTGATTGTTTTATAATAAAAACAAAGCAGCTGAATGGATGATTCGTATGTGTGTATTTTCTCAAAAAGAAATTAAAGGTTTTCATCGGCAAATATTAATGTTTTTACAAGTAACTAAAATTTGGTATAAAAACATGTGAAGACATATGTGCTGTCTTCCATTTTGAAAATGGCTTTATATCCTTGTGTTCAATGTGATGAAGAATGTGTTGATTGCACAATTCAGTGCAGTAGTTGTGATCGTTGGGTTCACAGTGCTTGTGTCCCAATGAATGATTCAATGTTATCGGCCTGGTCAGATGTGTCTCTAAAGTTCCTATGTAAGGACTGCTGCTTTACAGACAACAAGTACGACATGGCCAAGTCCCTAGAAAGGTAAGTAATTTTATAAAGTATATTTTCAACATAATATTTATTAGAATGTATATGAAATATATAAAGAACAAATGTGAAATTGTACATATTTAATTTTAATGAAGACATTAATTTCACTAATTCGATTATATTTAACTTGTTTCTTATTTCATTTTCTTTGGCAATATACATTTGTATATTCAATTTACTTAATTTACTAAAAATTCAGAAATAAAATTAATGGAAAAAAAAATAATATTCTTAGTATTGACGTTTAATTATTTTTTTATTGCTATGTTCATCCATTTTAATACATTAAATTAAGTTTAATAATGAAATATTTTTTGCCAATTGGATAATTTAATTGTGATAATGCCAAGTTCCCAATTATCAAAATATTTATTACCTAACAGTTCTATCATATTGTTAATTAGATTGTTGTATACTGACACGTTAATTATATTTCGGTATGGACACTCTGCATTAAACAGGCTTGTGACTGTCTTGGTATACCAAGGCTGCAAATAAATTGTTTTCGTGGACTATAACAGATAAGCCCGTGCCTTGTGCAGGATATCTTAGTAGTTTTAATTTTTTACAATAAATTTTAAATAAAATGTTGTTTTCGCGGACTATGACAGATAAGCCCGTGCCTTGTGCAGGATATCTTATTAGTTTTAAAAGGGCTTGGTTACTCTCCATTTTTAAAATAAAAAATATAATATTATTTTTTAATAACTATAAACACAAAAATTATTATTGTAAACAGTTAAATATTCCATATTTTTTTAAAAGGGGAGGCGCCCACCATCACATTGTTCATTGCCTTGACGTGGCGTGAGGGCTCCACTTTGGTGGTCTAAAATGAACACGTTGAGGGATTGTATGCAATCATTCTTTTATTCTTCCCATTGTGTTTTCCTTGGTCGCCATGTTGGATGTACACACTAATATTTAATGCGATCTTTATGAACTTACCTGCTTTCTATAAATATAATTTTTAAGTTATAAAATACACTTATAATACAATATTATTTAATTATCAATGTTTAAATGTCACCAATATGTGCTAATATTAAAATTTCAAGTGTTATTCGGTGATTACAAGTGTTATTTGGCTAATAACGGTGTTATTTGGTGATTCGTGTTACCCGTGCAAACTATATGTTTGATGATCTTTTCTTTCATATCCATACTAGACAAACATGACTGTATGTATGTACTAGGTCCAGAAATATTATAATTTCTATTTACATCTTTTTATACGACCGCAAAAAATTTTTGTGGTCGTATATTGGTATGACGTTGGCGTCGTCGTCGTCGTCGTCCGGCGTCGTCGTCCAGCGTCGTCGTCCGAATACACATTAGTTTTCGCACTCTAACTTTAGTTTAAGTGAATGAATCTCAATGAAATCTTACCATAAGGTTCAATACCACAAAAGGAAGGTGGGGATTGATTTTGGGGGTTATGGTACCCACAGTTAAGGAATTAGGGGCCAAAAAGGGGCCAAAAATAAGCATTTTTGTAACTTCCAGACATAACTTGTGTGTAAGTGTATGGATCTCTCTGACATTGTACCACAAGGTTCCATATCACAAAGGGAATGCTGGGATTGATTTTAGGGGTAATTGCCTCCAAATTTTAGGAATAAGGGGCCAAAAAGGGGCAAAAAACAAGCATTTTTCTAGTTTCATGACAATAACTTGTGTGTAAGTGTATGGATCTCTCTGACATTGTATCACAAGGTTCCATATCACAAAGGGAATGCTGGGATTGATTTTGGGGGTAATTGCCTCCATATTTTAGGAATTAGGGGCCAAAAAGGGGCGAAAAACAAGCATTTTTCTAGTTTCATGACAATAACTTGTGTGTAAGTGTATGGATCTTTATGAAATTGTACTACAAGGTTCCATATCACAAAGGGAAAGCTGGAATTGAGTTTGGGGGTAATTGCCCAAAAAGTTTAGGAATAAGGGGCCAAAAAGGGGCAAAAAATAAGCATTTTTCTAGTTTCCAGACAATAACTTGTGTTCAAATGTATGGATCTCTCTGAAATTGTACTGCAAGGTACCATACCTCAAAGGGAAGGCTGGGATTGATTTTTGGGGGTAATTCCCTCAAAATTTTAGTAATTAGGGGCCATAAAAGGGCAAAAAACAAGCATTTTTCTAGTTTCAGGACAATAACTTGTGTGTAAGTGTATGGATCTTTATGAAATTGTACTGCAAGGTTCCATATCACAAAGGGAAAGCTGGGTTTGAGTTTGGGGGTAATTGCCCTAAACGTTTAGGAATTTGGGGCCAAAAAACAAGCATTTTTCTAGTTTCAAGACAATAACTTGTGTTCAAGTGTATGGATCTCTCTGAAATTGTACTGCAAGGTACCATACCACAAAGGGAAAGCTGGGATTGAGTTTGGGCCAATGGGATGATGAATCATAAGGGGGTTCAAAAAAATTTGGGGGATTTTTTTTTATTTTTTTCATACATGTAAACCTCCTGACGGGAGTACAATAATCCCGTTTTCAGGGGTCTCCTCCCGACCTCGCGTTGAAGAGAAAAAAATCCTGTGTATGAAATCTGCCCAACATATCATCTCAGACATCTGGTGTAACTGACATCACCTGAAGTTATATTTTACCTGTAAATCAATTAACATGCATAATTATATGGCTTCACTTGTCAGCTTGGGTGTCAAACATACTGGTAATCAACGATTTTTACCTCAGGCTAACTGCCGTTGTGTAATAAAAACTTTGTGTATTTATTGGTTTACTTCCCCTGATTTATCCTGTTTTAAGTTACTTTCCTTTAAATAATGTAAATTTTTAAAAGAATATAAATAAAATATAAATTGAACAAATAATCATAAAAGGATGGTAATTAAATGATTTTAAATGTCTTAGGACAAATCAAAAAATAATAATTTGAAAATTATTTGAGGGTTCTATACTTTCTTTCAAGGCTTAAATTGAATTCATATAATAACTATGACCCATGTTCCCAAATTGAAATGAGTTTCTGATTATTCAAATAAAATCTAACTGCAAATGCAGATAGGTAAACAAATGATCTGATTGCAATGTTTGTCCTATAGAATAATGATATAAAAGATATGAATTGAAAAATTTAAAGAACATACTAAAAAAAAAGAATCTTAGATTGAACATGTAGAATATTAAGATAAAGAAACTTTATAAGTACAAGGGTACTATAAACATAATACATAATACATTCGGATTGAAAGTTGAAGAAAACACACTTTAAAAGACAATTTTTACAGCACACGGTTACATTTACGACAAACTTTATGTCGATTAAAAACCTCCTGATCTGAGTCCTAATCTCCTGACCAAAATTTTCCAATCTCCTGATCTGAGTTTCACAGTCCATCACATGTATGTTTTTTTCTTTAAAATTTTCCATTTTAAATTGGTTATTTCTGATGTATATATAAAAGCAAATAATAACGATATGGTTTGAATAGGTAAATTAAAAAATTTTAAGTTCTTAGACCACTTTCATTCTGTGTGAGAAACCTATGCTGTGTCAAATATTTAATTACAATCCAAATTCAGTGCTGTATCAAGCTTGAATGTTGTGTCCATACTTGCCCCAACTGTTCAGGGTTCGACCTCTGCGGTCGTATCAAGCTGCGCCCCAGCGGAGCATTTTATTTGTACTGTACTACAAACTTTTGGTTGCAATTTTACAACAAAAAAAAAGGTTATGGCAATACTGAGGTGAATCTGAAGACTCTCATAGGTTGCACTTCTGTTAATGTAGACAATGCAATTTCCCATAGGAACTCCTTTTAGAGCTAAAACTGTACCACTTTTTTTGTGAAGAAGTTTCGTAAAAAATTACATCCTAGAATCATGAGAATAGTGTTTCCTGCAGCTTTTGAAATGGGCAGGGTAATTTTTTTCTAAGGGCACTCTTAGCGTGTTTGGCTACACTTTAAAGGCACCCTTTGCACGGAGGACTACACTTTTAGGGCAGGGCGTCAAGAAAACACGGCAGGACGCCATACCACGCCAAAACATCCTGCAGGAAACACTATAGAATGGAGAAAAAAAACTCATATGCATTACTATTTTTTTCAAAGGTCAAAATATAGGGCTATGCGTCATATTTTCAACATTTATATGCCCTGAACTAAGAGTTTTAACTTATACTAAAATAAAGTACTATCCCTCCCCTCACTTTGGGTCTTCCTCTGAATTCAATTTGGCCGCTATTCATGTTTATTTATACTGGTAACATTCCCAAGTTATGTCTCTATTAGTCCGAGATTACTCTGACGTCCAACGGCTGTTTTGCCAGACAAGCTGGGGCCGTGGGACGTCAGAGCTCGTCCCATATCAAAAAGTGGATATTTGCCCGTCCAAAATAGATGCCCTGCTTCGTCGCTTCTGGTGCCAACGGACGGCCTTGGAATTATATAAATCGGGTATCAATTTGTTCATTTTTCATTTATCTCTTCATTTATGTAAGTTTCACCTACCTGCCACCCTTTACTTTCTCATATTTAGACAGTTTTCACAGTGACCCACCGATTCTGGCATTTTGACTTTCATTTTGAAAGATTGTCGTGATCACGAGAAAAAAGTAAGGCACAATGGACTATGGGAAATGATGTATGCATATGACCCTAGGTCAATATGAATATATAATCTAACACCTCGCTCATTTACGATGCAAGCAATGTAAATATCCGAGAGCTTTCGAATGTTATCGTGGTTGGCACTAAATGCTTAATACCGATCTCCTGTAAAGGAGGTGAAAAATCGTGGTTGACTACTAAATGTTAAATATCGATCTCCTTTAAAGGAGGTGAAAAAAAGTATAAATATTTGCATATTTGAGTCTCAAGGTCGCAAAATCTCTCGTAACTTGACGTCCATTTGAAAATAAAAGTAAAAATGTCTGAATCGATGGGTCACAGTGAAAACTGTCTAAATATGAGAAAATAAAGGGTGGCAGGTAGGTGAAACTTATATAAATGAAGAGATAAATGAAAAATGATCAAATTGATACCCGATTTATATAATTCTAAGGCCGTCCGTTGGCACCAGAAGCGACGAAGCAGCGCATCTATTTTGGACGGGCAAATATCCACTTTTTGATATGGGACGAGCTCTGACGTCCCACGGCCCCAGCTTGTCTGGCAAAACAGCCGTTGGACGTCAGAGTAATCTCAGACTATGTCTCTATGAGATGAAACATAGAGATCGTGTCTGGGAACCAGTAAGTAAACAAAACAAAATATCTATGAATAATATACATGTATGAGGCGTGGTTTGTGAACCAGCTGTATTAACAAAGTGCAACCTATAGACAGAAGAACAGAATCAAACACATTGTGATATGTGAGGCTGAAATGCCAGTCAAATGATTAATTTATATATGAGGACATATTATAACATCAATATTTACAAAAATCCATTCAAGCAAACTTGGAAGTATCATAAGAAGAAGGAATTGGCGATGTATGTGTTCAAATGGACATTCCAAGTTAAAGCTGTAGAATGGTGGGGCATGAACATATTTCTCACACATGACATCTTTGACTTTGCAATATTGAACCCTGATTGATGGGTGTCACACTGAGAGGAATCATTTGATTAATATGGGGAAGGCTGACAATTAAATTTGTTCACATCAAATTTTTAAACACACTTTATAATTAGGCCTAGAAAAAAAAATGTTTGGTTAGGTTAACCCAATCCTACCTTAAAAAAAACGCTGACCCTAATTTTTTTTGGAGCATTGTGCAATAACTATTGTCAGAGGGTCATCCTGAGCACTATCAATGTCGCAATACTTGCTAAATAAAATGCCTACATACCCCACCTAAATTTTTGGACATGTTACCCAAACCAAACAATTTTTTTGTTTAGGCCTTAGTCAATGAGGTTGATGTAGATCACCCTAGATTTTCTTGTAACATTTTTGGTCCAGCCTTATTATTTTTAAGTCCATCTTGGTCCCACATAGATCAAATTGTTGTTCCTTAATGTACTCAAATGTCCAGACAGGACTATCAGACCATCAACTTATTGGACCAATGGACTGTCAGAATTTTGGGGTGTCAGATTATTGCTATGCTCCACTCAAAGGGATTGATATTATACTTTAAACCCATTTGACTTTTTCTTGTCCCTTTTTATAATGTTTAAGGTTTATGCCCCCTTCTGTAGCCATGTGTATTACGAAATTTTCAAAGTGCAATAATATCAAAACAGCATAAAAGTCCTAAAAACAACCTTTACATTCCAAAAAATCTTGTGCTGAGTCACTAAATTAAAGTAGAAGGTGTACTTGAATTGGTCCATATTTATATTTGTTAACCAATATCTGAATTTATAAACTTGTTTTAAGGAAATCATTGCTAGCACTGCATGCAATAATCCTCTATCAAGCACGGAATTGTCAAATATGAGAGTACAAGGCGAAAGGCTGTGGATTTTCTATAAAATTTCCATTGAAACAACAATAGGGTACATAATCCTTAAGATACTTATAGAATGGTGCTATATGAATACACACAAAAAATGTGATATTTCACCATTTTCACTATTGGAAATTAACCTATGGAAGATACTGACCACATACATATGTACAATGTATTATGTACATGTACATGTATGACACAAACAGTTACTTTAATTTACAAAAATTTACAAAATATTATAAACTTATCTTTGATAAGCTATTTGGGTAATATGATGTGTGTACTTAGGCCATTGAAATAAAAGTATATGTGTGGTCCAAGTTACCCGACCTACCCTAGTTTAAACCCCAGACCCTAGAACTTTTTTTTCCATTTCTGAAAAGTAAATTTTGAAGGATCCCATTTTGTAGGATGTGAATTTCAATAATTAAATTCATAGACTTCAGTCATTTGAATTTGAATTAGAAAAATCCACTACAGCTAAAAATGAAACAAATTTTTAACAGAATGCAACAGAAATTAACTAAAAACGTAACATGTCTGTTTATTTTACAACCAAACATATAGAAAATGGCTAACTTCCGGTAAGGGCGTGTTAAATACCGGAATCGGACTCTGTGAACACAATTTTTGTTTTGATTTAGACACTGTTGAGTAACAATGGCTGAAAGTAAAAAACAAAATTCCATGATTGGTTTGCTCTAAATAATATTCTAATGAAGGATATACAATCAACAACGATGTATGCTTTCATTGTGTTTCTCGAGAAATAAATTGTTTTTGTTATTTACTTATTTAAAAGTTGCTGTTTCATCTGCTGATCTACATTTAAACAAAAAACTACTGATTAGGAGATTTAGTGGAGACAGGAAAGTAACTTCTTTACCCTAGTTGCCAAGTAGCTCACAATGTAGCTTGAGCCCTCCGGCTCCAAGATCATCATCACAGGGAAAAAGATTAGCAGGGGCCCAGTAGCCAATGCTACCGAAATTTGGGTTGGGCTCCTTAAACTTTTATGAAAATGACCATAGTGCTTAACTTAATTTTCATATTGTGGCGGGTTGGGCCCCTAGTCAGAAAATGTTAGTCTTATTCCCTGAGATGCAATGTATACTTGTATATACATGAACATGTGTCAAAGCTTTGCATATTTATGTTTTTAAATATTTTGACAAATATTCTTATTTTAAGATGCAAAACTTATAAATTTTGACAGAATTTGGTGTACACCTTGCTGAGCTCACAGTTGATCCTCATGGACCTATGGCTATCCGACAGCTAGCATCAGTCTTACTGAAACAATATGTAGAAGCACACTGGTGTCAAAATGCTGAAAAGTTTAGATCCCCTGAGGCTGTAGAAAGTGTGAGTATTTTTCAAGATTAGTTTATAGTTAGTAAATATTTGCGATTTCTAGATGGAATTTGTCGCCCTACATTATGTATGTCAGGGTCTGCAATTTCCATGTTTTCTATATAAACTGGGCTCTGACTTCCCAGGGCCCCAACCAGTCTTTAGAGCAATCTCAGACTAGGGGTAAAGAATCCATGATATAGTTTTTGGCATGACTCGCTGGTCATATGCTTCACCAGCTGCTCTACCTGTGCGAGAGCAATTTTGACCCCTTCAGTTCATATAAATTTTAGTTAAAAAGATCTGTACTATCTATAGTTTATTTATTACTGAAAACATTGTGTAATAAGGTTTCACAGGTTCTGAAGATAATTGATTTCTACCTTTGAAATTGTGATTGATTGATTGTTGATTGCTTAATATCCTTTGAAAATTTGTAGTTTTCTAGTATGCAGCGGCATTTCAAAACTTCTTCCCAAATGAATTTTCATTGTTAAATGACTATCTTGGTGAGGTCCATGTCTTTAAACTTTAAGTTCATTCAATGTTTCAAATCTTTATCCTTTATGGTTAGTTGTCTCATTGGTAATCATACTACATCAGCTTATTTTTATATAATATACTCATGAAACTTGTTTTTTTTTTTCCTGACTTGAAATTCTGCCTAAGACATGTACATGTAAGATACAAGTTTCCTAAATATATATTTCATACTCAATACAGACTGATAAAGTGTATGGCATGATAAATTGTATTTGCTATGATAGGCAAAAGTACAGATCAGAAGAATATTACCACTTGGGTTGAAAGAAAGTATCAGTAAGGTTCGAACTAGTTGTGCTTATGCCATATCTGCAATAGCCCACTGGGACTGGCCTGAAGCTTGGCCGGAATTGTTCCAGATACTGATGGAAGCGTTGACCAGTGGTCAGCCTACCTCTGTACATGGAGCTATGAGAGTTTTAGCAGGTAGGGTCAAAATGAAAACAAGGTTTGTTTGCTACATTTATAACCCAACTGACATTTTTCACTTTACACAAGATTTAATGAATATTACATATATCTCACAAGTTATTATAGACATAAAAAAATGTTTAATTTAAACATGTCATACATCTCACTAGATGTTACAGACATCAAATACTGTAAACCAACTCATTTTTACCTGCGATTTATTTTTTCGACTTTCACAGCTAGAAAGATATCGCAAATATGAATATGGAAGACTTGGATATTCCCTTATCTGATTACATCTAGTAAATTCGAAAATTGCAAAATTAAATCGCCTTGAAATGGTCTAGAAAGGGCTTAAAATGAAAAAAGTGTCCGCAAAAATAGAGTAAGATGGTTTGCACTATGTATAATTGATAAATTTTAGATCTCTTGTAAGGTGGTATAGACTTACAGATTTATATGTGATGATTTTGAGATAACACACAATGCAAGATGTTACACACATAATGATGTATAATTGATATATTTCAGACATCACACAAAATATTACAGACATTGAAAAAGTGTATAATTAAAAAGTTTCAGAATTATCAATAGATGTAACAACCCAATAGAAAACTGATACATTTCAAGCAAGAAGCTACAGACATGCATACTTGTAATTAATACATTTCAGAATTCACACAAGATGTAACAGACATACAGATGGGTCAAGTGGCTCCTGTGATTTTACCGGAAATGTACAAAATATTTATGGCTGCTGATGTAAGTTCAATTTATTTGGCCGTTTGATAGAATTCAGTTGTTTCTAGCGATCACTTCTGTGATCTTGCATCTTCAACTGCATCACACTTCGTTAATCCATAACTCTTTGAAAACTGCTTCACAAAATTCCACCAAACTTGCAGATTCTTGTACAGATCATATATATGTTCACCTACTATATTATTTTTTTGTATCATATATTTTTTGGATTGTTTTTTATGCCCCTGCCGTAGGCAACAGGGATATTAAGTGTTACTCTTGACTGTCCTGCACTTTCTACATTTTCGTTTCTGCACTATAATTTAGTTTGTCTCATGCAAATCTTATGAAACTCGTACACAATGCTAAGAACCACAATACGTAGACAGACTTCAAATTTGGCTTGTGAGTCATTTACCGTTTTAGAGTTATGCCCCTTTTTAACTTGGAAAATTGCAAAGCTTGAGCAGGGGCATTCGTGTCCTCAGACACATTCTACTTTTATTTATTATCATTTGTTTAGTACTGCTGCTGGTTGATTATCCGTCCCCAATGTAACTGTGTAATTGTTCTTGCAAAATAATATGCAACTGCACTAAAAATAAGGCAACTAATTTAAGCAAAGTAGACCTTAGATGGTTGTGGCTCTTCTCTGTAGATAGTTTTGAGTGCTTATACAAATTTCATGTTTTTAGCTATCTTGGTCAACCTGATGTTTTCCAGAAACATAGCATGCACACAGAAATGAACATAATGCATGTTAACTTTTATATGTTTACGGATGAATGTGGCTGATAAAAAAATTCTCTATTTTGAGGGGTTCAAAGTGGGTATAGGTGTGTAATAAAAAAGAAACAGTTTCATAGTTTAACGATCATGGTCATTGACAAAATATCCAGAGGGGACACCAGGACATTACACCATTATACTACTAGTATAAATGTCATGTCTCGATGATCTAGTATTCATTAAGTTTTCTGGTTGGTCAGATTCCTTTAGACTTCATATATATAACAAAATATTGCATATACTATACAGTTTTAATATATAGTATACAGTAACTAAGTGACTCATTTAAATTAATACTTCTTTGCTCATTCAATTTGTTTTCCAAAGTACAAACATGATATAAAACATTTTTATCTTCATTACTCAAGAGTCAAATAAATAAAGACTTTTTCATCTATTTGCTTCTTGTATTAAAAAATCATTTGATAGTTTAATTCTTTTCCAAAATTTTAACATTGAGATTATAATATTAAGGCATAATCTGTGTCAACCCATTTCTCCCATCATATATTTAGTCCAAAATTTCCGGCCCAGAACAATATTAGTCTGGATTTTGTGGCTCAGTCTTATATTTCATGTATTTAGTCTGAAATTTTTGAACCGGTCATATATTAAGTCTGAAATTACTGACCAAGTGACAGTCATATATTTGCCAAGTTGAAAAAGGGACCCATTCCAGCGACACATCTGTATATACCTTAATAAAGGAAGTGACACAACCCCTCCCAGGTGTGGTGAGCAGTAGACATACATGTATATTCGAGGTCACCTTTATATAAAACCAAGTCCCTGTATATATGCCATATAGAAACAATAATTTTATTGTCTCACCTTGACGGAATCAAAAATCGAGACATTGGTATGCTGTTTCCGGCAGAGGCGTTTTAGTTTGTGATTAGGTCTAGTTTATGGTGAATCACAAATGGTAGGTCAATGACATTTGGTATGCAGTTGTATTAGCATTCACACATCTCATTAGTTTGTAGATTATTTGGCCCCACCCCTTCAGTCATGGTCTATTGACTTTCAAACTTTGCTTAGTTTACATGTATTAGTTTGTGATAAGGTCAGTTTCAGGGGAACCACTAGTGGTTGATCAATGATATTTGGTATGCAGTTGTATAAGCATTGGCATATCTCATTTCCATGGAGATTATTTGGCCACGCCCTGTCAGTCATGGTCTATTGACTTTGAAAATTTTGCTTAGTTTACATGTATTACTGTGGATTCATTTATTTTCGTGGGTATCACTTTTCGTGGATTAAGGAAAACTTGCATTTTCATGGATATTTGATTTCGTGGTTTTGCCAATGTCTTCATACAAAGCCTACAGAAAATTTGTATTTCGTTGAACATTTGAATTCGTGGTTCACTTTTACCCACGAAAATTGGTATCCAACGAATAATAATGAATCCACAGTAGTTTGTGATTAGACCAGTTTATGGGGAGCACTATTGGTAGGTCAATGATATTTTGTATGCAGTTGTATAAATATTTGCACATCTCATTTCCATGGAAATTATTTGGCCTGCCCCTCAGTCATGGTCTATTGAGTTTCAAACTTTTCCTTAGTTTACATGTATAAGTTTGTGATTAGATCAGTTTATGGGGAACCACTAGTGGTAGGTCAATGATATTTGGCATGCTGTTGTATAGGCATTGGCTCATCTCATTTCCATAGAAATTATTTGGCCCTGCCCCCTCAGTCATGGTTCATTGACTTTGAATATTTTTCATAACTAACATGTAAAGTATTGCTATTTTAATTTCAACACTTGCATTTTACTGTCAAAATAACAAAAAGGCGAGACATATCTCTGTGTTAACAGTTTATTTATCTATTTGTTTTCTTTTATATGTATGTGCTGTACATAATTGATTTAAATTACTAAGGGTTTATAACTCCATATGGAGGTGCTCTTACTTACAGGAGGCTTATACACAGAAGAAGAAAACTGAGCACCATCTGTCGTCATAATGATCGTTAGAATAATACAACGATGACATTTAACAAATCGAAATGTTTCAAATTACAAAACATCAATATACGAATTTCAGCATGTCTATGGCAAATATTTAAGTGACGTGATTACAAATGAAGAATGGCAAAATAAGAAATAGTATATGAATGTTAGATTTAATGAATTACAAAGTCGCAAATAAAGAATCTCAAAGTTACAAATGTTGAATTTCAACGTTGCAAATACAGATTTTTAACATATGAATTTTGAAATTACACAGTTACAAGTGGCAAATTGACAATTTACGAATTAAGAATTTTGAAATTACACAGTTACAAGTTACAAATTGACAATTTATGAATTTTGAATTTTGACCTCGTTGGCTTTCCATAGTTGAATGATACATTTACATGTATATTTAAACTGATTGTTTTATCTGGATTAGTACATGAGTCCATTCTTTTAAAAGTATAGATTGTGCTCCACTGTTATAACATCTGTATTTTATAAACACCAGAAATATGGCAGTGTATACTCAATGAAGTTTTCACCTAATTTTAGAATAAATGAGAAAGATATATAGGCAGTATTAATCAGGAAAATAGTTTTACACTGTATTTGTACTTAAAGGCATGTTCCTATATTTTGAAGGCATTTAGTATTAGGACAAGAGGAAGGGCAGTAACTATATTTAACACATGTGCTGCTATGATTGCTAATATGGCTGAAATTCAAAAGGTGAGAAAGGAGTAGGTTCCATAAAGCCCTAAAATGGACCCTTTTTGTAGCTACAATTTCAAAGTAGGATTTATTGACCAATATCACATTAGATCATAGCTTATACAATGACAAGATAGGAAATATGTCTTTTTGTTGAAAATTAACGCTTACCATCTTTTCATATAGTCACACAAATAGTATTCATTTTGATTTTCTTCAAAAGTTCAATGAAAGCGAGTAAATTTCCATTGATTTTTTAACGGGAAAAACAGTGCGTTGACAAAAAAGATAATATAACATAATGTTTGTTATAACATTTTACATATCTGACTTAAATATTCAGTTTGTCGTGGCCTGGGCTCTATGTTTCCTAGGCCTAAATTTGGTTGAAATCCTTAAGATTTTGTCAAATTTCACAAAAATTTCTTATGTTGTAAATATGAACGCTTTATAAGAAATGCTGAACACAAATAGTTCTATTTCACTGACTAACTTATCTCTTCATCAACTGGAAACAATGGACTTAATATTAAAATGAAGCCCTACCAAACTTACTCCTTACAAATATATACATTAATAAAACAGATCGGGTTAAAAATCAATGTGATCACAACCAACATGTGAAAAGTAATTGAAAAAAAACATATACAAAAGCTTGGTATGATCTTATCACCTTCACTGGAAACCACACCATAAAGATCTCATCCTAGACTGGGCAATAAATCAAACAATGAAGACAAATAATTTTAATACCAAAACCTAATTCTGTAAATAAAACTACAAATATTGATGAAATATGAGTAATTCAGTCAACAGAGATTATGGAAATATGAGTTAATTAAAACAACACAGATTGGTTAAATTGTGAGTTAATTATGCAACAAAGATAGGTGAAATGTGAGTCAATTAGACAGGAGAGAAAACTGTAAATTCATAAATTATTGCGAGGTTTTTATTAATGCAAATAATGCGATTGGGTGAGTATTGGGTGAATATTGCAATAATAAGAACTCACATTCTGAATTTCGATTCATATATTTGTAAACAGATTTTCTTGAAATCGCAATAATTTATCTCGTATTTTTGTCCATTCTTCAAAAATCGCACAAATAAATGCACACAATAATTTCTGAATTTACAGTAGATAAGAGCAATTTGTTAAGCAGGCAACAATGAATTAATCTGGAACTACACTATATTTAAAACTTAAAATATATAGCAATAAACTAACATATCCCACATCAGTACCAGATCAGCTGGGTTTGTTTCACTTTAAGATTCTGATGAAATTCTTAGTTCCAATTTATAACTTTGTTATTGCTTTAAGCGGCATTAGCTTGTGATTTAGATCAAGCATTGTAATTAAGATTGACATCTGCAATCAATAGATAGTCGGGGCTTCAACTTGTATACATTATACTCTGCACTTTACTCAACATCCAATAACATTTAAGTATAATGTATACGAGCTGAAGCCCAGCCTATCTATTGACTGCAGATGTCAATCTTAATTACAATGCTTGAGCAAACATTTATGCAAACAAAGCAAGCAAGCCAACCAAACCTTTAAACTACAAGCATTAGGAAAATAGCTCTAAAAAGACTAGAATGTCAACATTGAAAAAAGAAACAAGGGAGCAACCATAAAAAAAAATATTTCTTTGACCAATTTGGCCAACAAGAAATCATACATAGCCAGGTGAAACGATGATTTACATTTTTTTAATCCATGACATGAAATCAGTTAGACTTGGAAATTTTTAATTACACAACTCCATGTGTTCTCAATCTGTTTATATTTATATTGATGTTTATATCATGACTATCGGCAGACTTCGGAGGTAATCTTGATGGTTAACTAGATGGTGTCTAGTCTAAAATACTCAGGAAAAGCTGATGCATTATAACAAGTCCATGCATTGTTAATTGTGGAACAGATGTAGTTTCCCAGTCTATACAGAAATGTATACATGAATGTTTCAGGGTATAGCCAAGCAGTTGCTGTTCCCACTAATTCCACAGTTTACACAGGCATTTATACAGACTCTCCAAGTACCGGATGGTTTTACCTCAGACAGTGGATTAAAAATGGAAATAGTTAAGGTTAGAATTTTTTTATTATCAAGATTTCAAACAACTTGTATTATTTAAAAATGAAAATAGTTAAGGTTAGAATTTTTTTATTATCAAGATTTCAAACAACTTGTATTCCTTTCTAAAAAGGTATGGAGTGCTTCATGGTATCATAAATTACTTCAAGACTTAAGCAATAATTGTTGATCAGGTCTTGAATATCCATACTGTAGTTTTAGTCCATATCTTGTGTATTGACTCCTGTCTAGGACATGTTCCCAGTTCAATACCTCATACTAGTCAATAGAAAACATAGCAACATCATAAGGCAACCAATCAAACCTGGTATTTGTGAGGTAATTATATCAATATGACGTGAATATCGAACAAAACTTATAGCTTGGCACTGTGATTGTGAGCAATTAAGGATGTTTGCTGGTCATGTTGGCCATCTTGTGATCATTTTTTTCAACTCATCTAGCCTTTTCCATTCAATAGCATTATCCCTACAAAAGCTGGTTTAACTCTTGTTATTCCTTCTCATATTTCGACAGTGATATTATCTATATATAAAGTATATAAGATATTAAAAAATCTTTCCGGACAAATTTTTTAAATGCCAACTTATCGAAAACAGTGGCATATATTTTTTTTTCTAGCTAGGTATTTTATCTTTAGAAAATGTCTCAATAAATGAAATCTTTTTTACAAACCTTCTTATTTTGAAACTTGTTAACGCCCTTAACATAAGACATAAACTAACAATGAAATTGCATTATAACATTGTGTAAAAAGATAAACACACACAGTGAAAATACATGATAGACCAATATGTGTGTAAAGGGATCTCCCACAGATAATAGATTTAAGCTCCAACCTGAATATATTTTAAAGGATTTATTTAACATTAACTTTTCTCCAACATATCAATTAATGTTTCAGAATAAGAGACAGAATTATGTTAGTTTTTCGTTTGTTCCTTGACCATGTTGACAGCAGATAAAAATAGAAAACTTCCGGAAAAAACGAAGGAAAAAAACAGCAACAAGTTTTAACAACAAGAAAAGCAAAACAATATTGTAGTGAACCAAAGCCGCTTTTCTAACATGTAGTGCATTTAATTTATAAGGAATATTTTCTTTTTGCAGGCCATAACTCAGTTAGTTAAAAGTTTTCCAAAGTTTATGGCACCATATCTGAATGAGATTTTACCACCTATATGGTTGATTTTCACACAGAGTGCTGAGTTGTATCCTTTATTTAGTTTTTTATATGATGAAAACAACTTTGAAATTTTTATATAAGTATTTTGGCAAGTGTGAGTTATTGCCATCACCATGTATTGTGTGTTATGTTTTATGATATATAATCTAAAAATTCCTTAATGATTCATCAGCTATGTAAGAACAGTTGTCAACAATATGGAAGATGCTAATGACCCTGTTGATTCAGATGGTAGTTATTTTTCTATAAAGTGTATTTATAAAATATGATAATTGTATATAAATTTATCAAGTTGATTTCTATTGTATATCTAATCAATATTTAGCTCTATCGTGTTGGTTTTTGCCATCATTGAACATACCATGTAAAATGTAGTTATTCCTGCTTCCACATAGCTAAACAACATGATGCCACTTTGTTTATACAGTTGTTGTAAAGGTTACTTTAAATATTCTAAGTTATGTATGATACCTACCGTTTTTACCAATCTAGACAGGACCCTTATACATACTCTCGCTTATACAATTACCTTTTTACTTTACAAAAATGATTCATTTTCTATCAACTTTTGAATTACAGCTAGTTTTAGGTATGATTATAGTGGGAATTTTATTTTATTCTATCTTTTTCAGGAGAAGCTTTGGGATTTGAAAATCTGGTTTACAGTGTGTTTGAATTTGTACAAGTTTTAATAGACACTTCAAAGTTCCGTAATACTGTGAAGAAGTCCGTCAATGATATACTATACTATGTTATCATTTATATGCAGATGACAGATGATCAGGTAGTTAAATTGACTGACTAGTAAAGAAGATGTAGGGTATATATTGGTAAATCAGCAAAACAACAACATAAAAACATCAAAAGAAATCTATAAATAAACATGGTCTTCAACTATAGTGGGGTTTCTGTAACTTTTGTTAGGCTGAAGACAAGTTGGGTATAAGCAGACGACAAGTTGGGTATAAACAGACAAGTTAATACCCATCATCAATGCCATTATTTTTGAAAACATCAAACTAATTGATGCAACTTAAAGACCTGATCCGGTTGTAAAATGGAAAAAAATAAGATGTGGGGTATATCAGAGTTTAGTGTGTCATGCATTTTCTCTTAACTAGTATACATTTTTGTTTAGAGGCCAGCTAAAGCACGCATCTGGTTGCCAGATTTTCTCGCTGTGTTGACCCATTGATGGCCTTGGGCTTTTTTCTGCTCTTTGGTCAGGTTGTTGCCTCTTTGACACATTCCCCGTTTCCATTCTCAATTTTATACATTAGTTAGGCAGCACAGCAACAACAACACAAAACATGGAACTATGAAATAAACATAGTCCAACTATTAAAAAGTTTCTATAACATATTTCAAGCTCTTAAATTAGTCTTAAACAGTTTGGGATAAAAAGACTACCTTACGTCAGCCATCTTTGTCATTTCTTAAGGACAAAGATAATAACTTAAGATATAACTAGAGACAACTTTCTTATTTTGCTCTGGCAAATTAACTTAGTGGTTAATTGAATTAGTCCAAGCATATGGTGCTTAATAAATGATAATTATATGAAAGTTGTGTCACAACTAGCATTTCCCTAGAAATATTTAAAAGAAACCAACCTTGGATTGTTTTTTAAATGAACAATACTTTGACAGTATACTGATTTGTACTGAATAATAGAAGTAGAGTTTTCATAATGATTTGAATATACTTTATCTACATATTGAATGGTGTGTCTATTGAATTTAAAACTGTCAACAATGACAAATTGCTCATTAAAAAAGCATCCTCACATTGTCCAATAAGTGGGCTAATACAAAACAAAATCAACTGACAAGGGAAAGCAAAAATATTCACCACCTCATGCAAATAAATTAAGGATACCATTTTCCTTCTTTTTAAAGTTTTTTTCTCTCAACAATGGAAATTTATTTAAGGCTCTTAATGGTTTATAAAATGTATTACCTTGAAAATTTTTATGTACATTAATGAGTTTGTTTTTTTGTTTGTTAGGTCAGATTGTGGTCCAATAATCCAGATCAGTTTGTAGAAGATGAAGATGATGAATCTTTTTCATATTCTGTTAGAATCTCTTCACAAGATTTACTGTTGGTGAGTTGTCTCCCATGTCTATTTTGCATCATAATCTCAACTGCTTGTATTAAATCTTTCATGTTTATATTGTACATCAGAATCTCCTCACAAGATTTACTGCTGGTAAGTTGTCTCCCATGTGTATATTGTACATCAGAATCTAAAATTAACTGGTAACTTTAATATTATGTGCCAAATGTATGGTTGGGACCCAAATTTCATGGTTCACTGAACATAGAAACAAGGTGTGAACAGGGCATTGTGTCCTATGGGCACATATTCTTGTTATAATCTTTATTGAGTTAAGACATTCAGTTCTTGTTTTCTTTGGTTAAGTTATGTAGAAGTAAGTGACAAAACTAGATATGTTTAAACAGTAGTGTCAGACCACCAATTCAAAATCCCTATCTATTCAACCAAAATCCACAGCTTTCTAATATGTTATCTTAAGGTTAACTTCATAGAAACCAGGTATTTCCTGAATTGTACATGTATCACCATTCTACATGCCAATTTTCATGTTTAAAGTCTTCTAGTGAACAACAACCATTCGAAAGGTAACTACTACTAAAAATAACCCCTGGTTTTCTGGAAATCTTAAATAAGTAAACTATGGAGCCTATTAATCCTCAATTTTTAATGCAAACTCTTGGACAAGTAAATTTTAGCTCAAAATGGTCTAATTATATTTCTCTTTCACCAAAAGTTTCATTTCTGCAAATTTGTTGGTTTAAGTAAACAATGACATCAAAAGCACTATTTTTAGTTAGGGAAGGGCTACTTTTACATACGTTCTAAATTGGAGTAATTGAATTGATGGTCTGACACCTACATTATAACTGTAATTTTTGTATATTTCAGTCATTAGCCAGTGAGTTCCAGGCAGAAAGTGCTCCAGCTTTATGTGCAGCAGTAACCAAACATTTACAAGAATCAGAACAACAGAAGAATTCTGCCAATGAAAACTGGTAAAGAGGCTAAATGATATGTGTAATTGTAAAGGAAGATTGATCATTGTGTTTGATATTCAGTGGCCAATTATAAGTAAATAACCTGGTTAATCTTATTAAAACTTTCTCACACATACAAACCATAAATATAAGACATTGGCAATCTGTAACTTTAAATATACAACAATGGTTTGTTTTTATGTTGAAAATACACAAGTTGTGTATTTTTTTTTTGTAGGAAGAATGATCAATTTTTCTGTTGATTAATTCTTTGTTTCAGGTAGGATATACAAGAGTTGTATATGTTTGCCATGGAAAATGTGATGACTTGTTAAATATTTTTCTGTTTCAGGTGGAAGATCCATGAGTCATGTATGTTAGCTATGGGAAGTGTGATGAATTTGGTTGTTGAGTATGTTCAGACTGGGAAAGTTCAGTTTGATGTCATGGGATTTTTACAGACTGTTGTTTTAAATGATATGAATTACTCAGGTGAATAAAAAAGTTATGAAAATTAACTCTTATTTTTGGTACATTAAATTATAACTTCTGATGGATTTCTTCTTTAAAGGAAAAAAAATAAATAAATAAGATGCACAAATGATTCTTGTATGAAACACAAAATTAATCTTTTGACAAGACGTGCAATCTGACTTTTTAGGTTTACAATATATGTATAGCAAAAAAACTTTTATTCATTATACCCCCGCTTTAAAAAAGTGGGGGTATACTGTTTTACCTCTGTCTGTCCGTCCATCCATCAGTCCGTCCATCTGTCAGTCCATCCATCCTTCAGTCCGTCCATCCTTCAGTCCGTCCGTACGTCCCATGAATATTTTCGTTGCACCTTTCTCAGGAACTACATGACAAAGATTTCTGAAATTTGGTTTCAGGGTTTATTTAAGTCAGCTATACTGTGTGATGTGTTTTCAGATTCATCACTCAACAACTTATTGTTTGCCGAACACTTGTATCATTTTACACATGATAGCCAAGTTGAAAATTTTCGTCACATTCTTCTCAGCGACTACAATACAAGGATTTCTGAAATTTGGTTTCAGGGTTTATATAAGTCATCTATACCGTGTGATGAGTTTTCAGATTCATCACTCAACAACTTCCTGTTTACCGAAATATTTGGGCTGGGGTATCATCCGTGAGCATTAGCTCGCAGTTTCACTTGTTCATTTTATATTTTCAGCTTCTCCATTCCTAGTAGGTAGATGTTTATGGGCTGCCAGTAGATATGTAGAAGCCATGACACCTGATTTGTTACAGAGGTAACAGCATTGTAGAAATTTAAAAACTTAATGTTGATGTAGAATATAGTAATCATGGAGAATTTATTATCATTTATCTCAATGCAAACAAAAATATAACTTTTTGAATGATTTTTTAGTGTTTACTGAGATAAAATTTATGTGTGATGTTAAAATTGGGTATTAAATTCTTGAAGTTTACAACAACATAACTTTTATTCATTTAATTATATTTTTGCCAAATTTCTATTTAAAATACCAAAGCTTTAGAATAAAACTAATATGGCTGTTTCCCCGCTTGAAATACAAAATGCAATATATTAAAACAAATTCAAAGTTTGTAGCATTTTTATTGCAAAATTACTAAAAATTAATAACCAAAACACCCTAAACTAAGCCTCAGTTTTCTCAAAATCTAACTATTTTTATTTTCCTTATTTTTCAAAGATTGTGTCTCATGCTACATTGTTTCTCAAAAATAAAAATAAATGGATGATACAATGAAAAACTTATCAGAAAGCTTTTTTGTTATGCCCCCGCCGTAGCAGAGGGGGCATTAAGTTTTACCCTTGTCCGTCTATATGTCCGTACGTCCCAAAATTGGTTTCCGTTCTCTAACTTTAGTTTGCCTCAACCAAATGTTATGAAACTAATACACAATGCTTATTACCACAAAACACAGATCAAGTTTGAATTTTAGTGGTGTTGCTTTTACCTTATAGAGTTATGCCCTTTACAAATGGAAAAATTGCTGAATTTTTCGTTTCTGTTCTCTAACTTAAGTTTGCCTCAACTAAATGTTATGAAACTTATAAACAATGCTTATTGCCACAAAACTCAGATCAAGTACAAATTTGGGTAGCATCACTTTTACAGTTCTTGAGTTATGTCCCTTTATAATGTTATATGCAAGAGGGGACATCATCTGTGTCCCATGGACACATTCCCCATTTATTATTGAAATTCTAATATGAACAAGATTATTTTGAGGATTTAAAGGTTGTTTAGCCTTTGTATATTATGTGTTACTTGTACATTACAGATTTTTACAGTCTACAATAGGTGGTCTCCACCCTACCCAGCCAGCAGTTGTTAGAGTATCTGCCATTCGATCTGTATATAGTTACTGTATTCATTTTAAATCTCTGAAGAATCCACAAGTACTTACACCATTCCTACCGAACATCATGGATGGATTATTGTCTGTAGCTACACAGTTTTCTTCAGATGTGCTGTCTTTGTGTCTAGAATCTATAGCCACAGTGTTATCGGTAAGTTTACACACAAATCATATGACTAGGCCTTTGACAGTACTAAGTCTTTGTATTTTATATATGATTTAGTATTTCATAATCAAACTTGAAAGCTTTAGTCAATTAATTATACCCCCGCTTTAAAAAAGTGGGGGTATACTGTTTTACCTTTGTCCGTCCGTCCGTCCAATGAATATTTTTCGTCGCATCTTTCTTAGGAACTACACTACAAGGATTTCTGAAATTTGGTTTCAGGGTTTATATAAGTCAGCTATACCGTGTGATGCGTTTTCAGATTCATCCCTCAACAACTTTCTGTTTACCATCAAGTATTTGGGCGGGGGTATCATCAGTGAGCATTAGCTCACATTTTCACTTGTTAAGAGATGAATTTGGCAGCTAATACACCTTTACAAAAAACAAGAAATTGTCACTTCATTGATGAAAAAGTAATAATTCACTAATTATTTTGTTAATTATATACAAAAAAGGTTTCAATGCTTATGTGGCTAGTTATGACCCTACATCAAAGAAATGGAAGATGTCCCCTTTAATAAAAATTGGTGTTACAAATAAATATCAAAAGATATGAAAAAATAATAAGTAAAGAATAACAAAATTTTCATGCCCCACCTTCAATAGTAAGGGGCATTATGCTTTTGTTTTTTTCTTCCGTGTGTGATGGGCATGGTTTACTTTGGACACATTCTTGTTTGATAGTTGTAGTTGTAATAAATTGTCTCTTCTGCTCTAGTGATTCTATTGACTTTATTGTATTTTACAGGTAGACAAAGCATTCACAGCAACTGTTGAAAATAAAATTACACCTCTTACTTTGGCAGTTTATCTGAAATATTCTTGTGGTAATGTATTTATCTAAGTTTTATTTATTGTTTTCACTTTTCCTGACCTTCTTTAATTTTAAACCACCTCAGTGGCCTCATGGTAGCCTGCTATCCTGAAATGTGAGAGGTCATGTGTTTGATCCCCAGCTAGGTCAATTCAAAGACTTGATAATTTGTATTTTTGCTGCTTCTCTGCGAAGCACAAGGCATTTAAGAGTAAGAGCAAAGACTGGTTGGCTTGGAGACGGAACAATGTGGTTCATATATGTTCATGATAAAAAAAAAATGTAAAAATATTATTTTCTTCCTACTTTGGCCTTTAGATGGAACCCTACATTAATTAAGATGTCTGTCCATTTATTCTTTCCAGTCTGAATCTTAAGTGTACTTGGTATGATTGTTGTCCCCTTAGCTTCTTGAAAGTTGATATCAAGCAGTCCTTCACCTTTCATTTGATACCTAAATTACCAAAATATATTCTACATCGTTTGATATTTACACCTATGTGTAGGAACTATTTTGTTTTAAATATGTACCACTTTCCAGTATGTTCTTTTGACCGGGCCTGATTTGGTGGTGTTACATCTTACAAATGAAATTGAAAATGGAAATGGGGAATGTGTCAAAGAGACAACAACCCGACCAAAGAGCAGAAAACAGCCCGAGGTCACCAATGAGTCTTCAACACAGCGAGAAAATCCCACACCCGGAGGTGGGCTTCAGCTGGCCCCTAAACAAAAATGTGTACTAGTTCAGTGAAAATGGAAGTCTTACTAAACTCTGAAACATAAATGAGCTAAAATTGAATTATTTTGCAAAGAATTCCGCTCATACCGCTTTTTTTGCTCCATGTTGAAGGTCTCACTGTGACTTTGAGATGAAGTACAGCAATAGAAGCGCTGTTCCTTTGCTTTTTGTGGGTTTTTTAATGTGCATGTACTGATTTAGTGTTGTGGATGGATACCCCATTTTCTTTGTTTTTCTATTAAAGTTAAAATCTGTGTAGGTCAGTCACAAACAGTTCAGCATTTCAGACCTCAGGTGCATGTTTACAACTTGTTGCTTTATGTCCTTTGCCTTTCTATAGTACCAATAAAATGTAGGTTTGTTCACCACTTCTAGAAGATTGTAAAATTAAAAGTTTGGGACTTATAGATTAAATGTCAAGTCACACACATAGTTAAATTTACAGACCCTAGTTTTATAATCACAAATAGACATAGTTAAATTTACAGACCCTAGTTTTATAAGAAAAAAAAGTCTAGCTTACTCCTGAAATTATGTTTTATAGGTTATACTATTATGATGTTTTCTCAATAGATCCTGTTATTGGTGGTATAGTACAAGATATATTTAGAGAACTATCAGAAAATGAAAACTGTCGACAGCCACTAGAAGATCGACTATTACCTACACTGACAAGCATTCTTCATTCTCCAGATAAAGTTCCTCTTGGAATGCCATCAGTATGTACTTGTAACACATAACCTTATCTTATTCCCAACAAATCTTAAAATAGCTGTTTCCAACATTGAACAGGGCAATAATTTGTGTTTTATTGTGATCTCTGAAGTTTTTTTTCAGTAGTGTAAAATACAAATTGTGTTAAAAAAAACAGTGTACTTTAGTCTTCTGTCATGCTTTCTGAGATGTACATGAATGCTTTTAACTGTTGTAAATTAAAAGATATTACAGGTTAGAAAAAAGAAATAAAGAGCTCTCTTAAAATCGTCCCACGTACAAAACAATTGAAAAACTCACATAATAAGACATGACAGTGCTATTCTTGAAGAAGTTAAAATGAAATTGATATTAATGTTCTCAAGCTTTCTTAACAGATATTTTAAGACTAGATTTTTGACATTTTCTTATGTAGTTATACTTCTTTTGTGTGACATTTCTGAGTGTCCACAGTTATGGCATGCTAATATTGTATAAGAATTTAGAACATTGAATGCATTGTAAAATGACTATATGTTATTTTTAGACAGCATTAGAGTTGGTAGAAGTTCTAGTCAGAGCCAGTAATGGACCATTGTCTAATGGTATGGTAACCAAAGGTTTTCCTGCTGTTGTACATGCTACACTCAATACTGATGACAATGCCACAATGCAGGTGTGTTTTGACTTCCTCGGATGTTTGATCATTCTGTCTGTTATTAAATATTTCTTACGTTAAATGTTTAAATACTCTAAATTTCTTAATTTGACATTTGTGCCAATTTCATTTAAAAAATTTAAAAATCAACAATTTCTTTCATAGATGCAGAGTTATGTAAGAGGTGTTTATTGGTTATAATTAACTAACCACATACCGTAAAATAGAAAATTATTGTTTATGTATTAATTCCCCCTCCCTGGTAAGTGCTTTACATCTGTCTGTGTGTCCCATGATATTTTAAGCATGTTTCTCAGGAACTACAAATCAGTTTCTGAAATTTGGTATCAAGCTTTATGTGAGTATGTAACAGCCACTATGTTCCGGCAGTTACTTTGTTCCGGCGGAACTTTTCAACTAGTTATTTCGTTCCGACGGAACTTTCCAACTAGTTGTTTTATTCCGAGTGCAGTTGAAAAGTTCCGGAAAAAAGTATCTAGTTGAAATGTTCCGGAACAATGTAGCTAGTTGAATAGTTCTGGCGGAACAAAACAACTAGTTACATCGTTCCGGAACAAATCAGCTAGTCAATTTATTAAAGCAAATCATAATAACTTTTCACTACACTCGGTATAAACCAACTAGTTGGAAAGTTCCACCGTAACAAACAATTAGTTGGACAATATGTACTTCATAGTTATGTATATCAAATGAAATCTAAAATGTGTTACTGAAAAATAAACGTGTGCCCACTTTGCTTTAATAACACATTGTATTAAAGATATTGAATAAATGCAAGGGAAATATCATATTTAATATCAGATTCAACACTAGTAAACAAGTCAAATCATTTTCAGAAATATTCATACATGCTGTTCTTTCGAACATTTCTTTTTCTTTTTGGTCTAGACGGACCAGGTTGCGACTCCAGCAAAAATTGCGCAACTTCGTTCAATTCTATATCTGTTTGACTTTCATCATCTTCTTGGAATTGAAACGTGTCCTGAGTTTTGAATACACTCTCTTCCTCATCTTCGTCATGTGCATCCACATGATCATCATCATCCTCAACAACATCCTTATCGTCATTATCATCATCCTCATCGTCGTTATCGTCGTCGTCATCATCATCATCATCATCATCATCACCATCATCATCATCAACAACGTTTTCATCATCGTCATCAACGTTTGCATCAGAATCAACGTCAATATCGCAATTCTCATTGTCGTCGTCCTTTTCGTTGTCTCTTTCGTGCGCGATTTCCTCACCTTCGCTACATGTACTAATATCTTCATCGTACCACTTTTTTAGATTTCTCTGATTGTATGGTCCAATCGTAACACCCTTTTCGTCATCGAACATAGAATAGTTACCTTTACCATTGTACTTGGTAACCTCGTATGGTCCTTTATATCTCAGTTGTTGTACGGTAGCCATACCTGCCTTTCTCCTAAAGTTTTTTAATAACACTTTGTCCCCTACAAGGTACAGTTTATTCTCAACTTTGTGTCTTACGTCATAACTTTCCTTTTGCTTTTGTTGAGCCTTTTTTACGTTCTTTACCACATCTTTGCTTATTTTGTCCTTAATTTTAATCATCTGATTAACTGCGCCTTCTATGTCTTGTTCATCGTGATTAGATTGTGTGTTTTTAAATTCAGATTCATTTGGTAAGACTGGTTGTCTCATGAACATGACATAGAAGGGTGAGTATTGGGTAGAGTGGTGCTTCGAAGTTCTGTAATGAAAAAGGGCCTCCTCTAAATACAAATCCCAATCTTCTCCATTTTTATCAATCATTTTATTATACGACCGCAAAAAAATTTTGTGGTCGTATATTGGTATGACGTTGGCGTCGTCGTCGTCGTCCGGCGTCGTCGTCGTCGTCCGGCGTCGTCGTCGTCGTCCGGCGTCGTCGTCCGAATACATATTGGTTTTCGCACTCTAACTTTAGTTTAAGTGAATGGATCTTTTTGAAATTTGACCATAAGGTTAAATACCACAAAAGGAAGGTTGGGATTGATTTTGGGGGTTATGGTACCAACAGTTAAGGAATTAGGGGCCAAAAAGGGGCCAAAAATGAGCATTTTCTAGTTTCCAGACAATAACTGTGGAACGGTGTATGGATCTCTCTGAAATTATACTACAAGTTTCTATACCACAAAGGGATGGTTAGGATTTGCTTTGGGGGGTTATGGCTCAAACCGTTTAGGAATTAGGGGCAAAAAAGGGGGAAAAACAAGGTTGTCCTGGTTAATGGACAAATACTTTAGTACAAAACATAATTTAAAGCAGTGTAAGGGAGATAAATCAAATACATCATTGAAATTATCTCCCTTACACTGCTTTTAAATTATGTATAAAGTAATGGTTAATAAACAATAAAGATAATCTAAAACAGTGTAAGGGAGGTAATCCAAATACAAAGTTTTGGTTACTTCCCTTACACTGCTTTTAAATTATGTTTAAAGAAATGCATATTTATAAAGGAAGACCAGTAAAAATATCTGCAAATGTTTTCATCTTTTTTTTTTACAAAAAAATCCATATGAAAGATTTGACACTATATTTTTATTAATTTTATTATAAAATAGATTAAGTTAGCACTATGGTAAATTTAAATGGGTAATTATGGTTGCCAACTCCATTGGAAATTTGAATTGACATTATGACCATATCTTGAGGGAAAGAATTTTTTTTGGGGAAAAAGGGGGGGGGATAAAAAGAAATTGTGGGGGCCAATTTTTTCTCATTTCAGATTTCAGAAATTAAAAAGAATTATTCTTCAAATATTATTTTTTTTTCAAATTTCAAATATTGAAAAATTTCAAGAAGTAATCTTTAATTGCACAGTATGGCGCATTAGATTTGTAAAATCTTTGATCACATTTATTTATTTGTTATGCCGAATCTAACAGTGTATTTAGATTTTTAATTTTGGGTCCAGTTTTCAAATTGGTCTACATTAATGTCCAAAGGGTCCAAAATTAAACTTTGTTTGATTTTAGCAAAAATTGAATATATGAGGTTCTTTGATATGCTGAATCTAAACATGTATTTAGATTTTTGATTTTTGGCCCAGTTTTCAAGTTGGTCCAAATTGGGGTCCAAAATTAAACTTTGTTTGATTTCAACAAAAATTGAATATATGGGGTTCTTTGATATGCTGAATCTAACCATGTATTTAGATTTTTTATTTGTGGACCCCGTCATCTAATTGGTTCATATTGAGGTCAAAAGGGTCCAAAATTAAACTTTGTTTGATTTCATCTAAAATTGAATTATTGGGGTTCTTTGATATTCCAAATCTAACCGTGTATTTAGGTTTTTAATTTTGGGTCCTGTTTTTTAAATTGGTCTACATTGAGGTCCAAAGGGTCCAAATTAAACTTAGTTTGATTTTAACAAAAATTGTATTCTTGGGGTTCTTTGATTTGCTGAATCTAAACATGTGTTTAGATTTTTGATTATGGGCCCAGTTTTCAAGTTGGTCCAAGATAGGGTCCAGTATTTAAACTTTGTTTGATTTCAACAAAAATTGAATATATGGGGTTCTTTGATATGCTGAATCTAAACATGTATTTAGATTTTTGATTATGGGCCCAGTTTTCAAGTTGGTCCAAATTGGGGTCCAAAATTAAACTTTGTTTGATTTCAACAAAAATTGAATATATGAGGTTCTTTGATATGCTGAATCTAACCATGTATTTAGATTTTTTATTTGTAGGCCCCGCTATCAAATTGGTTCATATTGAGGTCAAAAGGGTCCAAAATTAAACTTTGTTTGATTTCATCGAAAATTGAATTATTGGGGTTCTTTGATATGCCAAATCTAACCGTGTTTTTAGATTTTTATTTTGGGTCGCGTTTTTTAAATTGGTCTTCATTGAGGTCCAAAGGGTCCAAAATTAAACTTAGTTTGATTTTAACAAAAATTGAATTCTTGGGGTTCTTTGATATGCTGAATCTAAACATGTGTTTAGATTTTTGATTATGGGCCCAGTTTTCAAGTTGGTCCAAGTTGGGGTCCAAAATTATACTTTTTTTGATTTCAACAAAAATTGAATATATGGGGTTCTTTGATATGCTGAATCTAACCATGAATTTAGATTTTTTATTTGTGGGCCCCGCTATCAAATTGGTTCATATTGAGGTCAAAAGGGTCCAAAATTAAACTTTGTTTGATTTCATCAAAAATTGAATTATTGGGGTTCTTTGATATTCCAAATCTAACCGTGTATTTAGATTTTTAATTTTAAGTCCCGTTTTTTAAATTGGTCTGCATTAAGGTCCAAAGGGTCCAAAATTAAACTTAGTTTGATTTTAGCAAAAATTGAATTCTTGGGGTTCTTTGATATGCTGAATCTAAACATGTGTTTAGATTTTTGATTATGGGCCCAGTTTTCAAGTTTGTCCAAGTTGGGGTCCAAAATTAAACTTTGTTTGATTTTAACAAAAATTGAATATATGGGGTTCTTTGATATGCTGAATCTAACCATGTATTTTGATTTTGGACATTGGACCATAATAGGTAAATTAAAAAAAATCAAGTTCTTAGACCACATTCTTTCTGTGTCAGAAACCTATGCTGTGTCAAATATTTAATAACAATCCAAATTCAGAGCTGTATCAAGCTTGAATGTTGTGTCCATACTTGCCCCAACTGTTCAGGGTTCGACCTCTGCGGTCGTATCAAGCTGCGCCCCAGCGAAGCATTTTATTCAGCATGTTTTTCAAAGTTTGATTAAACCGCTCAACCATTCCATTTGACTGTGGATGGTAGGGAGAAGTCGTAACATGCTTAATACCGTAACTTTTAGTAAAGTTCTTCGTTATTTTACTATTAAATTCTCCACCTTGGTCGGAGACGATCTCTTCCATAACTCCAAATCTGCATATGGTAGAATGAAGTTTACTGGCAACCTCACTTGCTGTTTTTGACTTTAATGGAAAGGCTTCGGGCCACTTACTGAAGTAATCCATCACTGTAAGAACGTATCTGCAAAATGAGAAT